ACACACACACACACACACACACACACACACACACACACACACACATTTGCAAACACACACAATGATAAATGACCACAAAAAACATGCTGTCACAATATTAACACACACTCACGCACACACACACGCACATAAACACACACAGTAGAACAGTGTTTCTCAACTGGTGGGTCGCGACCTAAGAGTGGGTTACAGGAGCATTTTCAGTGGGTCGTGGAGTGTGTGATCAAAACAACAACAAGTTTAATTTTTAACTCATTTTGCTTATATTGGACTTTTATTTTGAAATTGCACGTGCGACAACCGAACTGTTTGACATGTAAAATTTAATTTAATTATAGCAACAACATGTCGAAGCGCAAGTACGACCCCAAATATGTAAAGCATGGATTTAAATATATTGATGACAAAAAAGGCATAAAACCTCAGAGTGTCATATGTATTGAAGTGCTCTCACATGAGAGCATGAAACCTTCTAAATTAAAACGACATTTAGAAACCAAACATCCCAGTTGCAAGGACAAACTGTGGGCTATTTTCAAAGAAGACTCCGAAAGCTAAGGGCATCACAAAAGTGCCGAACATCTTCATGTTCAAAAAACAAGTACAGGCACTCAGCGCATCTTACTGTGCTCACCCTGTAGCAAAGGCCAAGAAAGCCCACACAATACCAGAAGAGCAAATAACTGGTGATTATGCTAAAAATGGTTATGGTCATTTTAATCATTTTACTTTAATTTGCTGGTTTGTTCTGTTCAACAGGATCAGTGTCAATGTTTTATTAACAGTTCAGTTTAGTTAATGGTAACTGAACCACTGTTTACAGTATTTGACATTTTTACTCTGTAATATTTCTATAATTTGATACATTTTGTTAAATGACAGCAATAAAGTATTGTTTATTTGTAAGTCTAGGAGATTTTCTAATGATTAATCTGTCACCACCTGTGTATGTTAACAAATAAATACAAATGAATTATAATTCCTAAAATTGTATTATAGTTTCTAAAAATTTGGGTCGTGGCTTGATGACCATGTAAAAATTTGGGTCCCATGGCCAAACCAGTTGAGAACCCCTGCAGTAGAACATATGCCTGTATGACCATAGACCATACTATCAATCCATACATCTGTCTGTCCTTCAGTTCAGTTATTGTATGTCTATCCCACAGGTGTCAAACTCAGTTCCAAAAGGGCCGCAGCTCTGCATAGTTTAGTTCCAACCCTAATTAAACACACCTGATCAAACTAATTGAGTCCTTCAGGCTTGTTTGAAACCTACAGGTAAGTGTGTTGGAGCAGGGTTGGAACTAAACTGTGCAGGGCTTCGGCCCTCCAGGGATTGAGTTTGACACCCCTGCTCTATCCTTTCTATCCGAATATATACTTAACTACATTTATTTAAATCAATTTATTTAAATTTGGGCAAATTACACAACAAATAATAAATAAATAAACAAATAAAATACAAATAAAAAATTAAAATAATAATGAAATTTTTTTTAATAAAATGAAATACAATAAATAAATAAACTAATTAATAAATAAAATTTGTGTTGTTTATTATTTTTGCTTAGTAATATGTTAACATGGTTTATTGTATTACAAAACAAAACTGGGGATTATTATTTAAAAATATAATTATAATTAATGTTATTACATTAGTGGGCGTCATGGTGGAACAGTGGGTAGCATGATCGCCTCACAGCAAGAAGGTGGCTGGTTCGAGTCCCAATCTGGGTCAGTTGGCATTTCAGTGTGGAGTTTGCATGTTCTCCCCATGCTGGCGTGGGTTTCCTCCGGGTGCTCCGGTTTCCCCCACAGTCCAAACACATAAAAACTTGTTGGA